TTTTTTTTAAAAATAGAATACCCAGCCCTGACAGGCATGGCTCAATGGTTAGAGAATCAGCCTGCAGACGGAAGGGTCTCTTCCCAGTCAAAGGCACATACCTGGGCTGCAAAGTTACAAATGAAAGCTGGTATCCAAAACAGAATACTAGTTATCATACTGATTAGATTAGCAAAATACTTAATTTGGTGGTGCTCAGGGCACAGAGTGGCACTTAAACATATTCTAAGTGGGAGTGTAAACTGGTAAAAACATTTTCAAGGTCAAGTTGCCATCATCTATCAAAATTATAAATGCCCATAACCTTTGAGCCAGTAATTGCACTAGGACTTACCCATCAATATACCTGAAAAGCATCTCAGGACACATTTAAAGATGTTTATCACATCTTTTCTTTGGAATAAAAAAAAAGAAATGGGAATAACTATCCACCTATAGGGGCTTGTTAAGTAAATTCTGACACATCCACTTATAACATAGAGTATATTATAGATCTGTTAAAAGAATGGGGTAGGTCTTCAGATGTTGCTACTTAAAGATGACTAAGTCCATTAGATGAAAAAAACTATGGGCAGAACACTATAAATAATCTAATCCCACTTGCACATTTAAAAAGTTTATGCTGCCCTGGCCAGTTTGGCTCAGTGGATGGAGCGTCGGTCTGCAGACTGGGGGGGTCCCGGGTTCGATTCTGGTCGGGAGCATGTGCCTTGGTTGCGGGCACATCCCCAGTGGGGGACGTGCAGGGGGCAGCTGATCGATGTTTCTCTCTCATCGATGTTTCTGGCTCTCTGTCCCTCCCCCTTCCTCTCTGTGGAAAGTCAAAAAAATATATTTAAAAAAACAACAACAACAAAAAACCAAGGGTCTGGTGCACCCTCAGGAAGTCTAATGGTGAGAGCCATAACAATAAAATAAGCTACTAAGAGCAAGGCTAGCCTATAACTAGGGCCTAATCTCTGTGCCCCCACCCTCTCCCAGGACAGGTTCCATCCCCTGTGGACCAGTGCTCTCTTCTGGTGACAGTATTTACTAAGGAATGAAGTCTCTCTGAGCAATTCCCTAAGCAGGAAGCCAGGTGAAGGACTGGCCGTGTTAGTAAATAGACATGTTCATACATACAATAAAAATGAAGCTACAGCACTAACCGGTTTGGCTCAGTGGATAGAGCATCGGCCTGCGGACTGAAGGGTCCCAGGTTCGATTCCGGTCAAGGGCATGTACCTTGGTTGCAGGCACATCCCCAGTAGGGGGTGTGCAGGAGGCAGCTGATTGATGTTTCTCTCTCATCGATGTTTCTAACTCTCTATCCCTCTCCCTTCCTCTCTGTAAAAAATCAATAAAATATATATATATATTTTTTAAATGAAGCTACAGAATAAAATCCTAGTCTTGTCTTTGCCTCTCCTCCTAGTGCCTGTTTTGATGACTTTTGTTTTTATACTTTTTACATTTGTTCTGGGAGGCTTTTTGTGGCCTGATTTGAAATAACAGGCAAGAGCTGAGGATGTTGAAATACCAGAGTAGAAACCGCTTTCAACCACTGTCCCTGCAGGATGAACTTCATAGCACACTATTTTGGAGACATCGCAGCACAATTCACCATAGCTAAGATCTGGAAACAGCCTAAGTGCCCATCAGTAGATGAATGGATTAGAAAACAGTGGTACATCTACACGATGGAATAATTTTGTTATTAATTATCAGTCTGTTCAGATTGTTTCTTTCTGATTCAGTCTTGGAAGCTTGTGTGTTTCTAGGATTTATCAATTTCTTTCAAATTGTCCAATTTGTTGGCATATTTGTTCATAGTATTATAATTCTTTGTATTTCTGTGGTGTTAGTTGTCACTACTCCTCTTATTTCTGGTCTTATCTATTTGGGCCCTCTCTCCTTTCTTCTTTATGAGTCTGGCTAAAAGTTAATCAATTGTGTTTATCTTTTCAATGAACCAGCTCTTGGTTTGATTGATCTTTTCTGTTGTTTCTTCAGACTATTTTGTTTCTTTCTACTTTGATCTTTATTTTTTCTTTACTTCCATTCATTTTGGGCTTTGTTATTTTTCTAGTGCCTTTTGGTGTAAGATTAGTTTGTTAATTCAAGATTTTTATTGTTTCTTTAGGTAGGTCTTCATTGCTATGAATTTCCTTCTTAGAACTGATTTCTCTATGTCCCATAGATTTTGGGTGGTTGTGTGTTTTCATTTTAATTTGTCTCAAGATATCTTTTGATTTTCCCCCCCTTGATTTCATTGTAATTGATTTCTAGTTCCATATTATTGTAATAGGAGAGGATGTTTGCTATGACTTTAAATTTATTAAATTTATTGAGACATTTTGTGTCCTAACATGTGGTCTGTCCTGGAAAATGTTCCATATGCACTTGAAAAGAATGTATATTCTGCTGTTTCTGGTTGAAATGTTCTAAAAATACCAATTAAGTACATCTGGTCTAATGTGTCATTAAGTCCACTGTTTCTTTTTTATTTTCTATCTGGATTATGTATCCATTGATGTCAATAGGGTGTTAAAGTTTCCACTATTACTGTGGATGTCTCCCTTTATATCTGTCAATATTTGCTTTATACATTTAGGTGCTCCTACATTGGGTGCGTAAATGTTTATAAGAGTTTTATCCTCTTGTTGGATTGATCCCATTCTCATTACGAAATGCCCTTTTTTGTCTATTGTTACAGCCTTTGGTTTAAAGTCCATTTTACTTCATATAAGTATTGCTGCCCCAGCTTTTTTTCATTTATGTTTGCATGAAATGTTTTTTTGCATCCCTTTACTTTCAGTCTGTGTCTGCTTTTAATTTAAAGTGGGTCTCTTGTAGGCAGCATATGTACAGGTCTTGTTTCTCTATCCATTCAGCCGCCTATGTCTTTTGATTGGAGCATTTAGTACATTTACATTTAAAGTGATTATTGATAGGTATGTACTTATTGCCACTTTTGTAGTTCTCTTTTCCTTTCTTATGGTCTTGCTGTCTTGTATGACTTTCTATAGTGTTATGTTCAGATTCCTTTCTCTCTTTATTTCTTGATTATATCATTTTGGTTGTTAGTTACCATGTGCTTCCCATATACCACACTATGTTTACAGCAGTCTATTTTAAGTTGATGGTTGCTTTAGTCCGAACACATTCTAAAATCACTACAATTTTTACTCACGCCCTCCATATTCATTTTTGTCATTCTTTTTTATTTCTTTTGTTTGTGGGTAGCCCTTACTTTATTGTTGTAATTACAAATGATCTTTCTACTTTTTTTTTTAATCTTTGTACTAGCTTTATCCATTGCTTTTACTGTTTGCCTGTCAGTGAGAATATTTTTCTCTCTGCTTCTTAAAGAAGTCCCTTTGTTTGTGGTGATGAACTCTTAAGTTTTTCTTTTCTGATAAAGTCTTTATCTCGCCTTTGATTTTAAATGATTGCCTAGTTATCTTGGTTTTAGGTGTTTTCCTTTCATCCCTTTGAATATTTCATGCCATTTCCTTTTGGCCTGCAGTTTCTGTTGAGAAATCAGCTGACAGTCTCATGGGAGTTCCCTTGTATGTTACTATTTGCCTCTTGCTGCTTGTAAGATGCAATCTTTATCTTTAACCTTTGGCATTTTAACTATAATGTGTCTTGATGTAGGCCTCTTTGGGTTCATCTTGTTCAGGGCTCTGTGCCTCCTGGACTAGTAGGTCTATTTTGTTCATTAGGTTGGGGAAATTTTCAGTCATTATTTCTTCAAATAGGTTTTGAATCCCTTGCACTCTCCCTTCTCCTTCTGGTAACCCTATGATGTTATCCCAAGGTCCTTAAACTGCCCCCATTTTAAAAAAATTTTTTTGCTTTTGGTTGTTTCCCACTGTCTTTTCTTACAAAGTGCTGATTTGATCCTCTGCTTCATCGAATCTGCTGTTGATTCCACCAAATGCATCCTTCATTTCTAAGTGCTACTTTTTATATTTTCTATCTCTGTTTTGGAGTTCTCACTAAGTTCATCATCTATTTTTTCCCTAAATACATTGAACATTTTTTTATAACTAGTGTTTTGAACTCTGGTAGATTGCTTATCTTCATTTTATTTACTTCTTTTCATGTATTAAGTAGATAGCTACATCTCCTATCTTGGAAGAGTGGCTTTATGTAGTAGGTGTCCTGTGGGACATAGTCTCTTTTTTCTCCTGATCCAGGTGCTCCAAGGTATCCCTTGTGTGGGCCGCCTGGGCCCTCCTGCCATATTTAAGCCTTTATTGATATTGGCACCTCAGTGTGGTTGATCCTCAGGCTGACAGGCTAAGAGTGCTGACTATAGTGGCTGAGCTGATGTGCAGGAGGCTGACCCCACAGAGCAGGAGTCACTTTAGCAGGGCTCTTGTGCCAAGCTAATCTGCCCTTTAGGTGTGTCGTTTGTGGAGCTGGTTGGGTGTTGCTATGATGCAGTCTAAAGCCAGCCACCAGGTCTGTTGGTTCTGGAGCCTCTTGGGAGGGGCTCCATTGCAGGTCAAGGTCAGCCGCTGCTTGTGCTGCGCTTAAGGCCACCGAGTAGGAGCTACAAAGTGATCTGTGGTTGGTTATCACATGTGCCGGCCTTGCAGGAACTCTGGGAGGCTATGCTCCAAACCAAGGCTGGTTGCCACTTATACTCGGCTTGGGACACTTCGGTGGGCACTACCAAGTGAGATGAGGCCAACCGCCACTTGTGCTGGGTTTGTGGTCACTTAGTTGCCAATACTGGCCGCCACTTATGCCAGACTTCAGGCCATCTGATAGGAGTTACAAGGAATTACAATACAGTTTGAGACTAGTTGCTTCCTGTGCTGAGCTTGAGGTCACTTATCAAGAGGTAAAGGGCATTCTGAGGCCAACAGCTGCTTGTTTGGGGTTTGTGGAGCTTTGAGAGTATTTAGGAAAGACCACAGCGTGAACAGAGGCAGGCCACTTGTGTGGAGGAGCCACTGGAAGAGCTTCGGGTCCAGCACAAGAATTGGGGGTGGGGAGCAGGGTGTCAGGGATTCACCTGGGTAGGACAAATGGTGTTAGCCAGATTCGGCACCAGCCAGCACTTCTGCCCCTGGAGAGAGCCTCCCTGGCCCCTCCAGCCCTCATCCAATTTAGTTCCTCCCTATATGTTTCTGGCACTCTTTGAGCCATTGCCCCTGAGCTGGAGCCCAGAGAATTTGTGAGCAAGTGAGTCCTTACGGGGCTGGGCACCCCTCACGGGGACCTCTGCAGCTGAGATATCCCTCTCAATTCTTAGTCATCATGACTGTAAAACCTGTCTTTTTAGATGGTTGTCCTATAATTTAGTTGTAATTTTGATGTGGTAGGAGGCAAGCACAGTGATAAGTCATGGTGACAGCATGTACCCTCGACAGGATGCAGTGAAAGGGGCACATCCACTCTCTGGGCTTCCTCACCAAAACCCGTAGCACCAGTCTTTCCACAAGAAAAACCCAGTACTCCTCAAAACTGTCGAGGTCATGAAAAACTATCACAGATCAGGAGACTGAGGAGACAGTGATGAGTAGGTGTTACCAATTGGTAAAACTGGATTCAGGATGTGCAGGATTGTCTGAACTATCATTGTAGCTCTTCTGTAAACCTTACGAGCTTTCCAAAATGAAAAGTTTATTGACAGAAAGAAGGTGAGCCCGCATCCTAGAGGACCTTGAACTAAGAACTTTAGACTATTTTCAGTGGCTTGTAAGCAAAGTGACAAGATCAGAAATGGGGCTTTAAGAAGATCAAGGGCGGGGGGGGGAAAAAGGACACATATGTAATACCCTTTGTAATACTTTAAGCAATAAAACAATAAAAAAAACAGTAATGACGAGAAAAACGCATTCTTACACAAAGTTGAGAAATGCTATATAATTTCTTGGGAGGAAAAAAGAATTACAAAGTATATTATATGTGTATATTAAAAACACTTCTGTAAAAAAAACAGTTTAACACTATTTAACACCAAATCTTTCCCAAGTTCATTTTTGCACATGCAGAGGCACTTTTGGGACGATGTATTATTGAAAAACAATACTCTATTGACAATTTATCAGATTCTGCCCTGCATCCTCCTACAAGACCAGGTCATCAGTACGACACCAAGTCTCCAGGAGTTGAGGACTAGCTGACGTTTTCTCCCAGTGGACGAGGAGGCTGGTCCTCACCTTCTGTGAGCTGATTCTCTGATTTCAGCTGGGCCTTCCTTATGCTCTCCAAGTTCAGTTGTCGGTATTTTCTTTTAAAAAAGCCACACTAAAACAAAGGGGGGGAAGCCCAATTTCAGACCGAAGTTGCCCATCTGTCCCAGAAAACCATTTACCTGGTTGTTGCCAAAAGGGCCCTTACACTCCTTGGCTTCTCAGGCTCCCTCTGAATCTCTCCCAGTTCACCGTCTTCCAAGACCCGTCCTAAACGCTGCCTTTCCACAGCCTTCCTGGTGCTCACTCCCCAGTCAGAAGGGACTTTTGACCTTTCTCTGAAACCACAGAGCTCTTTAACCTTTTTAACTTTTAATTGTGCAAAGTATTACGGTTTGGGCTGCACCGGATCTTATTTATGTAAAAGTACTCAGCCCACGATGCTGAGGCTAGATGATCAAGTACGGTGTCCTACAGCAAGAAACGCACAATCTAGTAGAAAGAGAAGTAATTAGCACACAGAGCCACTTCTGGATTTCCAGCAGGGAGCTCACAGGAAAAGCTACACCTCAGCTTAGAGGACTCCGGAGTCCCTGGGCTGGGTTTTAAGGGAAGAGTGAGAGCAAGGTGAAAATGTGAAAAAACAGCCTGGGGGTGGGGTGGATAGCTTAACTGCCAGCACAAAGACACAAGCCTATTTAGTTCAACTCTGGAGAAAAAAGCAAGACTTAGGGTGAGCGGGTAGAAGCTGGGGAGTGAGAATCTTGAACAGCAGAAAAAGTTTGAATATTAAAAGAGGGGAAGGGAAGGAAAGGATTTAAACAGGGAACCACCACCAATCTGTTTCAGGAAAATCTCTCTTTACGCCAATACTTCAATTTGGTTTGTATTTTTTTCAGACAGAAACTGTCTTACTCATTTGCCTACACAGATGTGTGGTGGAAGGAAGAGGGTAAAGTGGCCACACAGCCAGGCAGCTGTTCGAAGTCAGGGGCTGGCTGTCCCCAAAAGTACTGTGCCCAACCCCAGGGCCTGTAAAAACACGATAGAACTGACCTTGAATAGCACGACTATAATCACTATCAAAACCAGAAAGCCAGCGACACTGCTTCCGATGATGAGAGACAAAGGAAGGTACCCCTCCTCTTTCAGGAAGATGACCGTGATCTAGAACAAGACAAAGTTGTGTCAGGTAAAGCAAATGAGAAAAAAGTGCCACACATTATTTTAAGGAGCAAAATATGAGTAGAAGCTTACAGTGCTGGGATAGAAAACCTGAACTATGCCCTAGCCGGTTCGGCTCAGTGGATAGAGTGATGACCTGCAGACCGAAGGGTCCCGGGTTCGATTCTGGTCAAGGGCATGTATCTTGGTTGCAGGCTCCTCCCCACCCCGGGCCCTGGTTGGGGCTCGTGTAGGAGGCAACCAATCGATGTGTTTCTCTCATATGAATATTTCTCTTTGTCTTTCCCTCTCTCTTCCACTCTCTCTAAAAATCAATGGAAAAAATATCCTTGAATGAGGATTTAAAAAAAAAAATGGAAAGAAAAGCTGAACTATAATTGATGAACTGCTGGAGGCTCAGTGTGGACAACTCTGAGAGTTAAAAACACCAGGAAACCCAGTCATAGGGGCCCCCACCACATTGAGATTTATCCCCAGGAGCTTGACCAGGTTCCCACAGTAAATACTGGAGAAAAATCTCTTGGCTTCCCAACAGGAAATATGCCATTTTGAAATACACCAGAGCACTCTGTTCTTTTTTTAAGCAACATTACTCATGTTTGATAATTTATTGATCTTTAGAGAGGAAGGGAAAGGGGGAGAGAGAGAAACATCAATGTGAGAGCAGAACATCGGCTCAGTAACAGACTGAGACCTACTTATAGGATGATATACACTTACCTTCCCCCCATACCTCACCACATTACTAAAGGCCTATTTATAGCAGTTCCTAAAGGCAAAAAACACAACTTGAAGAGACAGAGCAAGCATGAGAACTAGACATAGCAAGGATGTTAGAATTATCAGACGGGGAATTTAAGACAACTACGATCAATATGCCAAGGCCTCTAATGGATAAAGCAGACAGCACGTAAGAACAAAGATAAAGAATAGATGGGCAATGGAAGTGGAAAGGTGGAAATCCCAAAAACCAAAAAGAAATGCTCAAGATAAAACACTGTAACAAAAATGAAGAATGCCTTTGATGGCTCATTTGTAGACAGAACTTGGCTAAGCAAAGAATCTCTGAGCTAGATAATCAATAGAATCCTCAAAAAGCAAACAGAACAAAAACTGAAGGGGAAAAAAAGAGCGCAGTAACATGATCTAATGACCAAAATACTTTATAGAAACTATTTTGATTTGTAATGCAGAAATAGAGCTAAGTCTGTCAGGAGACTGTGACCTTCTGTTAAGGATTCTCTGCCAGTTTAACAGAGGGTCCCACGGGATTGAGGTCTTCAGGTTTTAAAGACTGACCGAAAATTAAGATTCTACACCCAGCTATGCCATTATACATCCTTGATCCCCAAGCTTCACCTTCAAAATGATGACTTTTTGTAAATGATCTTCCAGCTCTGTTTTTTTTTTAAATATTTTTATTGACTTCTTACAGAGAGGAAGGGAGAGGGATAGTTAGAAACATCGATGAGACAGAAATATCAGCTGCCTCCTGCACACCCCCTACGGGGGATATGCCCAAAACCAAGGTACATGCCCTTGACCAGAATCGAACCTGTGACCCTTTAGCTGAAGGCCGATGCTTTATCCACTGAGCCAAACTGGTTAGGGCATTCCAGCTCTGTTCTGACAGCTCTTTTTGAGCTTCCACAAATCCCTAAAGTCTGATAATACACTTCTCCTCACCCGAAATATAAGAAAAACACACTGATCTGCTCCTCACCAGACTAAAGTATATGTTACTTTGAGACGGGAAAATAATGCAAAACAGCACCCATGTGTACAACCTGTAGAGCTCTTCCTATGGAAGCCATCCCCAGCACTGTTGTCTCAACTTCAGAGTCTAAGCCAGGGGTCCTCAAACTACGGCCCGCGGGCCACATGCAAATACAAATATTGTATTTGTTCCCGTTTTTTTTTTTTTTTACTTCAAAATAAGATATGTGCAGTATGCATAGGAATTTGTTCATAGTTTTTTTTTAAACTATAGTCCGGCCCTCCAACGGTCTGAGGGACAGTGAACTGGCCCCCTGTTTAAAAAGTTTGAGGACCCCTGGTCTAAGCTGTCTTTTCACAAACAAGACTCAGCTGGGAGCTTAGGGGATGTGCTTCCCAAGTGAGACCCAGATAGGAACATCCCAAGTTGTGTCCAGCATACACACCACACATCATGGTCCCAGGACTTAAGTGGGGCCCAAGGGCCAGCCAAGCTCCTCTGCCTGGCCCCAGCCAGGTAGCTCAGTTGTTTGGAGCAGCATCCCATGCACCGAAATGCTGTGGGTTCCATTATCGGTCAGGGCACGGATGGGGGCAACAGATTAATGTCTCTCTCTCTCTCTTTCTCCCTTTAAAATCAATTTTTTAAAAAACCATATAAAACAAACAGACAAACGGGAAAAAAAACAGCTTCGCCTGCCCAAAACAGTGAGCTCCTTTCACACAAATGTTTAAGCACCCAGGTCAGCAATGCTTCGGAGAGAAATTCTGTATGGGGTGGAAGGCTGGACAAATTTATCTGTGAGGCCTCTTCCTATTGAGCTACAGATGGTGGTTACTCCCTAGAGCTGACCCTCCAGGCACTATTTACACAGCCGACCTTACAAGGATTAGGTTCTAGGCCTTGACAGTTAGGGGGGAGCAAAGCAACAGAGAGGGAGGAAGACCAGGAAGGGAGCTTGTTTTTCCTTCTGTGGAAGTGAAGGGGGGAAGGACAAGGAAAGTGATGAAAGGAAGCCCCAAGGTGACAGTGGTTTACCAGACCAGAACTGAGTGGAAGAAACGCTCCTATTTCTCAACGTCTCTTCCCTTTTCCTCTCCCAAAGCCACAGGTTTCCAACGTGCCCCAGGGCTGCCCGTGGAGGTGAAGGGAGAAGCAGGACACAGGACACCACTGCTTGTAGCAAATACCGATGGGGGCCTCCTCCACAGCCATTCTCTCCTTTCAGATTTTGTTCAGAACCATGACTGGTCTAAGCTAATCAAGACAAAGCCTGGTTGCCCCCTTTGCCAATGAGACAGAGGAGCCAGACCACTGACCCTGGTCTGCCTCCCTCCTTTTATGGTACCCGCAGCTGACATGCACTTGGATATACTGCTACTTATACTCATAGATTCACTGTAAGTCAGGTGCTTATTGTCAGGAACTACTTAATACTTTGCTTAGGGTATCAAATTTAAAGAAAATAATTATAAGGAATCTTTACTGTAGAATAAAAATATCAGTAAGAGGAGGAAGTACCTAAATAATTTAAGAATATGCATGTCATAAATTGTTAACATAACCTCCCTTTGGGAAGAGGAAGTTGGGGTGTGGGAAGAGGGGAAGTAAAGGAACCATCACTTTTCATCTGGTATCTTTCTATAAGGCTTGGATTTTCTTCTAAGCATTATTGGATTTTTTAAAAATCTGGGCAGTGGGATAATGGGGCACTTCTCTTTCTTCGTATCATTTTCTGTATTAGAAATGCCTAAAAATAAAGGGAAATGTTATTCCTGACACGTCTAGAGAACTGTTCCTTTCTCCTCCTCCTCCAGAAAGAAAATCAGAGGACCCAATATTTAGGAATCCAGTCTCACTCTCTTAACATTCCTTCTAATAATGAATCATGCCTAACTACAGAGCTCACAGATGGAGCATCTCGAAAGCCAGCAGCACATCTAGGTGAGTGTCAACAAGAATGACAGCTCAGGGGAGCACACACTCCATTTGGCCCATAGATCACAGACATCCGTTTGACCTGTGGTCAGACTTCAGCAGAACAAACCCCAGGAGTTCCAGTACTGAGTCTAAGACCTGTCAAAGAAGTATGCACTCTGAGTATTGTAACTGGTTAATATTATCATTAAACTCTGACACTACACACTAGAGAGTTCATGCCTACAAACAATAATTTCTCACTTTGGGAAAAAAATTTAAAATACCTTTTCAAATCAAAGCATATGTAGCTTATGGTTCCAGCTTAGTTATTTCAGTTTAGACATCCTCAGCTTAAGCCTCTTATGTAATTGCCTCATTTCACAGATGGAAAAATTGAGGCAGAAGCTGACTAGCTCAAGGTCACAGAGGCAGTTGGTGGCAGGGTCAAGATCGGAGGTGATAAGACTGAAAACAGGAACAGGGCCATAGCAGAGTGCACTAAGGCTGAGCAGTTCTCCTAGGACACCACCCCGAAGACAGCGCTTACCTTAGTTCTGTGGTTCTCTGCATTCAGACCTTCATACAGAGATTTGTTGAAAGAAATTTCACCAAGGATCTGCAGTTCAGTTACATCTCTTAGGAACTACAAGAGGAGAGGGGGAGAAAACGTGTTTTAGACATGGACTTACTGTTTCTGCACAGCATTCACCATCCTTCCTTTTATGTGTTCCATCCTATGCATTCCTTAGCTTAGTTAATGAGCTCAGCAACCACAAAGTTACCCAAGCAAAAAACCTGTGGTTATTCCACAACTTTCCCCTTTACCTCATGTCACACCCTCACCCACCCCGCCCAAGTCAGTTTTCTTGACCATTTTTCCATTCATTCATTTATTTATTGGTTAATCCTCAGCCGAAGGTATCTTTCCCATTGATTTTTAGAGAGTAGAAGGGAATGAAGGAGGTGCGGGAGGGAAAGAGAGGGAGGAAGGGGGAGAAGGAGAGAAACATTAATGTGAGAGAGACTGGGGCTTGGGATTGGACCTGCAACCCAGGTATGTGCCCTTGACCAGGAATCAAACCTGCCACCCTTTGGTGCATGGGCTCTATGCACTGAGCCACACTGGCCAGGGCCCTTTTTCCTTTTTTGAGCCTCTCTTGCACCTGTCCCTTTGCCTCCATTCCCATAGCTATTTCTTCAGTTCCGATCTCATCAGTCATCTGGGTCACTGCAAGACGTTACACTGGGTTGTAGTTCCCACTTTTTTTTTTTTATTTTTTTAAATATATTTTATTGATTTTTTACAGAGAGGAAGGGAGAGAGATAGAGAGTTAGAACATTTCTGTCATGTTTTTTTGTCTCCGCATTTTTTATGCTTTCTTGGTGCACCCCCTAGTGGTCTTTGTGCGCAGTCTTGTTCTAGTTGAGCCTTGATTGTTGTAGTTAATACTAGAGGGATTTGACCACTAGGCCGACTGGCTGTGTGTATTCCCACTTTTGAATGAGTATTCAAGGAAGGCCTCTCCAAGAAGGTTACATGTGAGCTAAATACAAGAAACCACGCACATGAATATCTGGGAGAAGAACATTGTCACAGAGAAGGAATAGCAAGTACAAAGGTCCGGTGGCCAGAACAATATGGAACAATATGGAGGCACAGAAAGGACAGAACAGCTGGAGCATAAGAAGCTGGGCAGAGGAGAGTACGAGGAGATGAAGTCGAAGAAGAAATCGGAGACCAGATCACGCAGGGCCTTGCAGACTGCTGAAAAGGTATGAATTTTAAGACAAATGTATTAAAAAGCATAATGTTTATTTTTAAAAGGTAGCTGTTGCCCTAGCCAGTTTGGCTCAGTGGATAGAGCGTCGGCCTGGGGACCGATTCTGATCAAGGGCACGTACCTCGGTTGCAGGCTCCTCCCTGGCCGAGGCCCTGGTCAGGGTGCGTGCAGGAGGCAACCAATCAATGCGTTTCTCTCACATCAATATTTCTCTCTGTCTTTCCCTCTCTCTTCCACTCTCCCTAAAAATCAATGGGAAAATATCCTAGGGTGAGGATTAACAAAAAATAAAAATAAATAAAAAATAAAAGGTGGCTGTGAGGAATGTTCGGAGAAGGGCATGGCAAGGGCAGAGGCGAGAAGAGCAGACAGAAGGTTGGGGCAACGTTCTGGGCCAAAGAGGGCAGCCTGAACGACAGGGTAGCAGTGGCCAAGCAGGAGTGAACGGACTTAGAATGTATTTTGGAGGTGGAATAGGAGAGTTTGCTGTGGGAACAGACATGCGCCAGTAAGAAAGGGAGGAGGCCCAAGAAGTTCTTAGAAAGTAACTGGGGAGGTGAGCTGCCCTGAGTAACGGGGTAAGGAGCGGGTTGGGGCAGAAGGGGGGCCAAGGGCATGTGATACCGGAGATGCGCGGTCCGGCCACGGCTCTTTCTAGGGGAGACAGGTGCCGGGAGCTGCAGGACAAGCCCATCTGGAGCATTTCGCAGCCTCAAGTACCTGCTCAGACTGACTCGCGGCGAGCTCCGCTGCCACCGTCACGTTTTCTCTGTCGGAAGCGATGGCACAGCGCACCGAATACCACTCCTCCATGGGCTGGGAACGGAAAGGCGGGTGAGCACCATCCCTGTCACTGTCACCCTCAGCACACCGGGCACCTGAAGGTCCCGGGGCAGATGTGAGCAGCTCCCTCGCTCCCCTGGCGGAAGCAAAGCCGCAACCTCGGCACACGAGACCCGGGGAAGAGACCGAGGAGGGCGCTGGGGCCGCCCTGCACGTGCTTTCGGGGGAAACTGCGGGCAAGTTGTATCCGGGCCCTTCCCGTCACCCGCTTCAGACCCTCCTCCCTCCCTGGCCTCTCGGCGCCGCCGCGCTCACCTGAACCGCCTCGCTCCCACAAGCGCGCTCCGGCCGCTGGGTGCACACGGTGTGAGCCTGGAACGAGAGCCATCCCCGCGACGAATGAGGACGCGAAACCGCCGTGGGAAAGCGCCCCCTGCCAAACCCGCGAGCCCGGGGTGATACGCATGCG